AACACATCTATCCAGAAGCAGTGGGATTTCCCGTGAAACTATCTGTCACTTCATCATTTCTCAACATACAAAGTCATGTTTTTCGTTATCAACAAAAATAATGGATAACCCTTCACATCCATTACATTAAGATCTTATCAAGTGTGTTTCCTCCTCTTCCACCCGGTCCCGTTATAAGCGTATATTTGCTCGTACGACCGCTTATCGGTCTTGTGTGGTGCCCTATCTTGCCCGATTTCTTGTCAGCGCAGAAAGCATTGCTTCGGATTTCTACTCAGTTATCTCTTAAATTGTATTCATTTTCACTGCTCACGATAACTATGCTATAATTTTGTTCGANTTCGATAATTGTTAGATGACTATGTGACTGCTGAATATCCACCTTTCGGGGTGCATAAAGCAAACACTTGACTTGACTTGAAAGCTGGAGTTGAAACTGCGAATAAGGCGAGGTGCGGTAGACAGTGGGCCTAGGAAGTTCATTCACGATAAACTCCCAAATACACGACGGTTAACACCGGATTACTAACCCGTTCGCTCCATCCCACTTGGATAAAACTAAGTAGAGACAGATAATCGAAAACTTCGAGTCGATAGATATCTTAGGCTCACAAATTCAAGGTCTCATAACCATGAAGCAGATCTGAAGAATGGCACAATAATTCAGTGAAACGCCCGCCTTTCTGTTAGCTCCTCGAGCAGTCTGAACCATGCACTTGGAACACTGTTGCTGAATAAGTCCGACCTCGCAACAATCCCAAATAGGAGCCTGTTTAGATTTTTACACTGACCCCTTGTTCACCCCTAATACATCTGAAATTTCATGGATACAGACCGAGTTGTTGTAGGCATCAGGGGCTTATTCTTTCCTAGAAGTTCACTTTGATAACACTACTGGAGCAATTGATCCGTACGTGTACGAATCAATGATTTCACTCGCTTATTATTATTTACAACTCTACGAAATCCCAAATTAACTGCCGTCCGTTTGACGTATCAGACTGATTTGTGATGGCTTGACACAGAACCACAACATCGGCATATCAACAAACCTTCACTGGACGGACAAAGGGCAAATCACTGATGAATGTTTCGGACAAGTATAGAGAAAACAGTATCAGGGAGACCTCTGAATAATTGACTAAATGCAGTAGATCAACCATTTAGGAATCTTTCAAAGAACAAAAGCAAGTGAAACTCTTCCGAAACAGCTCCGTTTGCTTTTTTCTTTAGAATTCAATTGAATCCTTTCTGACAATAAATTGATTCCATGTAGAGTGCATTAGTAAAAAGGTCGTAGTAAGTGGGTCGAGGAAATAAATCGATTGAATTCGGAGAACCAGAGATCGTTCAACGGAATTAATCGATGAATTTCCTCTAGCCCTTTACCAAGACATCTTTATTAATGCACTCTACGTTTAAACCGTAAGGTTTGATGAATCCTTATTGATTATTATTCACCTTTTGGAAAAGCTGATTAAGCCGGTTCGCTAAACACTGGTCAGCCCAGCAAGGTGGTATATGTACCCGTGAAATTTGCACGTAACAGCATGGGTGAATACTATATCGATAATAGAACGTAATGCACTTGGTCGCATTTAATACCAAACATAAAAAGGAATACAGTTAATGTGGAACAGGGAGATATCACACTCACAATCGTGGTGAAGTCCACTGGTCAAATTGTGCTCCAAATTGAAGGGATCTGAAGGGTGGAAGAGGAAGAGAGTGAATACAAGGAGGGCATCTAGGTATGGGAAACTATAGTCGGGGATGAGTGACTCGAGTTTTGATTAGTCACCCTTCTTTTTCACCTTTCGGTTTGCCCCTATATAACAAGCGTTTCAGATAGCCTCGCTTGAGGAAACCCTTCTCACTACCTTAATGTGATGCAACTGTTTCCGTTGAGAAGATGAAAAGCCAAAATCCGGGGCCATAACTGGGTAAGTTGGCTAAAAAAGAGCCATATACACCATGCTGGTTGTGACTAGTGTCACTGGTTCGATTTAGCATCTAGGTCTATGGGCCCCGTGGATAGGGCATACTAACCTAGGAAATGGATAACGCCCCGCTGATTGCAGGCCAGGCTCCGGGTGAACATGTGTCAAGAAATCTCATCTGATCTGGCCTAGGCAAATCATCAGTATTCCGCCAATCAGCGACCAAGCTCATTGTTCACGCAGCGGAATGTTAAACCCTCCAAGAAAGAAAACATTGATCACATGTCATGCTGCCTAATAATACGGGTATTATACCCAGAAAACTGCAGATTAGCCTATCCGGGTAACAGATAATACGACGGGTTCGAAGAAATCACCCAGTTCAGCTTTTTAAACACCAAAGCAGTCGCTGCTAAGTTCTCGTTGAAAATGCGATTTAAAACCTCAAATTTCAACTGTTCAGTCACTGGCTGTGTTGTAGGGTATGGATCGCATAATCCAACGCATTGTTCTTTCATCGTTAAGAAGGATGAGGGTGCATGTTCTGAACAGGCTCGCGAGAAGTGGATACGAATGGCAGCAGTTTCCATGTTATTTGATTGTGAAAAGCCCCCCCCCCTCCCCCCGGGTGCCATCGTGAAAAACAGTAAACTGGTCTGGCGGTACGGGATGTGGATCACCGCATACCTGTCGAAAGGCTCAGAGAAAACACTAAATCTAAAAAAATACATTTATTAACAGATGGTTATCATGCACCGTATCTGTAAAGATTGATGTTTAATGTAAAGATACACGTGGTCACCTGACTGATTGGGGGAGAGCAAGCGGATCAAGGAAACGGTCATTCATTTACCGGGGGGTCAAACATTATTCAAACTCACCTTCGATCGCAAAAAGTGAAGACCACATTTTGACGAATCGTTTCAGCAGAGCTTTTTGACGTATGGTGACCACGTAGAGATCATGATTGAATTCCGAAAGGTAGTATTCGAAAAATCCAAGCCACAACTCGCCCAACGACAGTTTATTCTGCGGAGGTTTCCACAACCGATGGATCACGGACATGTCATTCTGGAACCAAGCATTCCAGCCGTTAACCGAAACGACAGGTTTCTCGGGTGTCTCGTAAAGCTACATATGAATAGACAGGTGATCGGGTAAGAAGGGACATAAATAGGATTGAAATTGTCAAGTCAAAAAATCAATACATGATTGGCTAGTGGACAGAATAAGCTCAGGTTACCCTGGTCAAAGTAGGTGAATTTCCGGGGGGATTAACAACCAGAGTGTTTGACCAACGAAAACCTTTTTATCAATCCCATTTAGAATGAGATCAAGCAAGCTGGTGTACCGGTGCGGACAGGCGAGAGAGCCCGTTACAATAGGCGAATTTTGACCGAATGAAGTCAGATGTACGGAGGACAGGGAGGGGGGGGGCA